GAGTTTGACTAGGTAACTAAATCCTAACTAATCTAGGTAACCGAATCATACTAGAATCCTAATATTACAACAGTTCTATAATATAATATTCTCTAACACGCCCCCGCAGTCGAAACGTGACGAACGTGAAGAATGGACATTCACTTGCTAGCACGCTCCTGCAGTCGGAACGAATAAACTTCAAACGTGAAGACTGGAAACTTCAAACGTGAAGACTGGACAGAAACCGCGAAACACATCGCTAGAGAATTCCTCTGTTGAAATATCTGCCAAATTTAAAAATAATAATAATAATAATAACGGGTGAGAGAAAAATAAGATTTTTTTTTTTTTTTTTTTTTTTTTTTTGTGTGTATGAATCGAGAGAGAGAGAGAGGGAGAAGATATGAGAGGGGTCGCCGGCCATGGAGAAGAAGAGAGGCAGCGGCTAGGTTTTAGGCCATGGAGAAGAGGAAGAAGAAAAAGATAGAGAAGATACACCAACCACCGAGAGAGGGAGAAAATTCGGTTTGGTGGTCGCCGGCCATGTAGAAGAAGAGAAGCGGCGGCTAGGTTTTAGGCCATGGAGAAGAAGAAGAAAAAAAGAGATAGAGAAGATGCACCACCGGGGGAGGGAGAAAATTGGGTGGTGTTCATAAAAAAAGATAGAAAAAGAAAAAAAATAAAGAAAAATATTAGAGTACCACCACCGGGGGAGGGAGAATATTGGGTGGTCACCGCCATGGAGAAGAAAGGCAGCTAGGTTTTCACCGCCATTAGAGAAGGAAGGCGGCTAGGTTAAAGAACCTAAACCTGGTGCTCTGATACCATATAGGAAGAATAGGAGAAGGAGAGAAAGATAGAATACGTAGAATAGAAACCCCCATTGTGTTATGGGTTGATTACACGAATATATATAGAGAAATATTGCAAGGTAATAGAGTTTGACTAGGTAACTAAATCCTAACTAATCTAGGTAACCGAATCATACTAGAATCCTAATATTACAACAGTTCTATAATATAATATTCTCTAACAATTAGATATGTATATCTGGATAGCACACCTCCTTCTTGATGGAGGACATTATCCTCCAGGACGTGCGTCTGGCACTATGACTTTCTTGTAGGCGTCGGAGAGAAGATTGCCCTCTTCTTCGGGGAGCTCGCCGCCGAATGAGAACTTGTCCGAGGGAGTTTTACTTTACATCTGCGATGTACTGGTCGTAATCGGACTTCATTTTGAGGTAGAAGGCCTTGGACTCTCCGCCGGGGGACGATGCCATTAGTTTATTGTCGAGAAGCTTTAGAATCACGTCGCATATGGAGGAAAATTCATTCTCGAGATTGGATCTGTAAATCTAGATAGCATACTCCTCCTTGATGGAGGGTTCATGAAATGTGGGATTTGATGCATGTGCAAAGATCAAGTGGCAGACATACATTTTCACTAAGGCACTTCCTCTTCCTGTTCCTAACTCCTCTTACTTGCTCTCCAAGATGGAATTAAAAAATCTTTATCTTCTATCTTGAGGAGCAAGTATACGAACATAGTCTAATACTCGCAGCTGTAGTGTGAGAATTTCTACTCCAATGAGGGTCGGTTTCTTATGGGCACCAGATCCTGGTTCCCTAACGGGCCGTTGAGTCACCATGATTTACATTCTTCCATCAAACATTTGTCGGGCCAAGAGATGAAGATCCTGGGGCCGATGGATTTCGCCTTTTGGTGCAAGTATTCGAATATAGTCTTAGTTTTATTATTATATTTTATTTATTTTTGTATAGTAAGCCTTATTTTTTAAACGCGCGCGCTTACACATTCTCGCCCCTTATGTAACTAACTTTTCACATTAATAATAATTTTCTTATCATCCTTTATTTTTCGTCTCTCAATCTCCTTTCTTCTCCCCATTAGTGGCTAATTCTCTCGATATCAAGAAGAGATGGGGAAGAGGAAGAAATAAAGGAAGCAACGAATTTACACAACATTTTTTTTTTAAGGCGGAGAAAACATATTTTCTATTTTTACTTCAAATTACTCTACTTACAATTTTTATTTTACAACCAAACAAGAAAATTATTGTACTTTACCTTTTTACCATTTTACTTGTCATTTTCACTGATCAAATCAAAGCATTCGTGTTTCCATTTCACTGCGTCACAAAAATGCAGATGAAAGAAGAAGAGTGTTCGGGTGATATAAAGTGTGTAGTCCCGGTTCTGATTAATAGAAAGAAAGAGTGAACTCATGAACATGTCTACTGGGGATCAACTCCTTGGACAACGTTGTACACCCTCTATTATTCTGAAATCCTAAACATATTTCATAGGAATTTTGAAAAAAAATGTTTGTAAATATTATTTAAGTTAAACAACTTATAAAACGGTTCTAACTCATTGGTTTCGGTTTCAAGTCGGAGCAAATCTCAAATGCTAACATCCTTAACGGGTCCGGTTTCGAATTTTAACAAGTTACGCCCCATTGTCATCTAACCATCCTGTAAGCCCATTGAAATTTTCACTTTAAATATAATATAAAAATTTCGAGAATTATTATAATTTTCGTAAAGCACAAAAATGTAATATTTGGGGACGAAATTTTTTAGCCCTGACAAATTCCAAGATCCGAGGAGAAACGAAATACTTTTTGTCACATGAAATGAGCAACCCAGCCAAAATACACATCTACATAATCGTAAATACAATACCACTTGACCATTCGTTCCAGTGCTTCGCGCAGATGTTTTACGATTGTGATTTTTCCATTTTGCCAATAACTGTTTGCGGTGTGGATTATTTACGTAAGGCCAATATTTAGACATATCTAACTTCCTCGTTTCAATCAGAATTTCTCCGTTGGATTTTGTAAACAGTGTAAGCGCCTTGGTAAACATTCTCAATATTCCTGTGTCTGAAAAACCCAAATCGCAAAAACCCATGGAAGCAATAATTCGAAGAGCATAAACAAACATTTTGAAATTGACACAGTCATGCATTCAAAAACAAACATAACCTTAAAAAAAAAAAAAGAAAAAAAAAAAAAACAAAAAACAAACACAAACATGACAACCGAACAAGTGAAAGGTAACAGAAAAATATACGAACTCTTTAATTGCAAGACTCGGTCGATAGTTGAAACAAATGCACCTAAGCCCCATGCAAATGCTCCAAAACCACCACAAATATAACCTTAAGCTTTGTATGTAATAATATGCAAAAAAGAAGCAAGCATTAAGGAAATAATATTTCTAATATGCGGTGCAGACACGTTTAAGGAGCCAAATACATAATCCACATAATCATAAATCAGCAAAGTACCTATTTTTCTTCGGGAAAGCTTCGAATTGACCATTGATTCGAGTGCTTGGAGAGGATGTTTTACGGTTTAATTATCCTTTGCCTATATAACTGTTTGTGACGTATGCACATTGTTACAGTCAATCTGCAATTGGAAGTACATTGTTATAGTAGTATATGTAATGATAGGTCTTACCATTAACTACTAGATTTCGAGCTGTATTATATCGATCGATTATGTAAAATATCAGGAGAACTTAACGGATTCGCTGACTAAAACACTACTCGGAGAGCATGTGTTTAATTCATCCATGAAAATACGTCTAAAGCATACAGGAGATTCCAAGAACTATCAGTCAATAACAATAAAATTATCCGTTAGTTAAACGAATTATGTGGTCTAAATCTAACACACATTTCTTAAACGGGTACCTCTTTCTATATAATAAATGGTCGGATACCCAAAATTAAAAGGGTGAAATCAAAATAATACCAGAACCATGGCATATCGTATTTATTTCCAAACCCTAATGATTTTGACAATGAGTCTCAAACGGATCTAATACCCACTTATAGCATTCGGATCAAATTCTTTTATCACAGTAGCTTTATGTGCATTTTAATTATATTACTATTTTATAAATAAAAATATGTTATTATAATTACAATGGATAAATTAATGATATTATTAATAATATTAAATATTGATATTGAAATCGATATATACTTATACTTTATTATTCAATAAATTAATATTATAATTAAATATATCTAGTATTTATATTTCATGCATATCAAATAACATAGTATTATATCCATAATGTTATTATAACCAAGGTTGTAAAAAGCGGTAATCAGGTCGCAGGCGGTCAGGGACCGACTCACGATTAATCGGTGAGGCAGTGATAAATCGGAAATAAATCGGTTTTAAAATTTAATATAATATATTTCCAGATATTATTTATAAATACTCAAAACATATATAAAAAGATATTTATACATAGTTATATCTCCTTCATGTATATATCCTAATAACATAATAAAAGTTTAATAATAATAAGATTAAAATACATAAATATCCTTATATAATATAAATAAAAAGACCATTTTTTTGAATTTAAATTTATTCTTGGACATTCGTGACATACATCTTTAGCTCTTCAACAATAACAGTTAACATAAACAAAATAAAGCATAAACTCATTTTTTTTTATTAAAATCCCAACTTTTATTTTGAATTATAAAAAAAAAAAAAAGGTTTGACCGCCTCGGACCGCCTCAAACCGCCTCGCAGGCAAAAAACCGATTTTTCAAACATTTACACTAAAATCGTAAAGGTTTTGGACCGCCTCCGCCTCGGTGACCGATTAATCGGCCGCCTCGGCCGATTTTTAAAACACTGATTATAACTAAGCATTCATAAAACAATAAAATATATAGTACAAAAATTCTGTTTAACTTTTAGCTAAAAGTTATACTGATCTAAATCTTGATGGAGATGTGCTTAGATTAGTTTCTAGGGTATATTACAATCACCTCCTTGAGGTAAATGTGTAAATACAAAAAAATCCCTTTGTTTTCTGAAATTACATCAGCCCCTTGTAGTTTATAATTTTCTTACATCCACCCCCTAAAAAAGTTTTGTACTGGATGTAATTATGAAAACATGAGGGCCTTTGTTTATAAATAAATCTTACCTCACCTAGTTTCTTTCATATTTACCCGTAATCTAACGGGTCGGGTCTCAAATACAAGAACATCTCCCAAATTGAAAAACCCTAAAATTTTCTGATTCACAGGAGCAACGATTCTGCCCAATTTTCAATCGGAAAAACAAATTCATGCTCTCCGACACTTCCATTTCGGTAGACGAGTGAGTTTTCACTGTTCGCTGATTCAAATTGTATTTTTTTGTCACTAAATCACCATGATCTGTTACGCACTCCGTCGCAAAAATCTATCCTTCATTTCTCCGAACAATTTTGCATTCTCAATTTCGTTGCTTTACTTCTCTACCTCCAGTTGCAGTAAACCGAACGCCCCTGCGGTTTATGATTTCTTGGTGCAGAAACATAAATTCTCTCATGTAGTTGCTTCACACGTTTCCTCTGTTTTAGCTTTTCCGAAAACCCCGGAAAATTGGAATTCAATTATTTCATTCTTCAAAGGCGTCGGCTTAACCGATACCCAATTGGAGAGGATCTTGAAAATCAGGCCTCGTTTGCTTTCGGCAAGTCTGGAAAGAACCATCCAGCCGAAAATCGCTGCTTTCAAAGACGTCGGCTTTTCCGACAACGACATTGCAGATATAATATCGAAAGTACCCGCGGTTTTACATTCGAGCACGAATAATAAAGTCGTACCGGCATTATCTTTGTTGAGGGGTATGTTTGGATCCAACGAAGAGGTAACCAAGGTTTTAAGAAAATCCGGTTGGTTGCTTCTAACAGATTTGAATAAGAACATGGTGCCGAACGTTATATTCTTGAAGAGCTGCGGCGTATCCACGGAGCAGATAACTATGATTTTCAAATATCTCCCGAGATTTTTTATTTCTAAGCAAGAAATTGTGAGGAGGTGTGTCGAAAAGGTCGATGAAATGGGTGTCGACAGGCGTTCGAAAATGTTTGTTTATGCCGTTGCGATTGTTGGTTCGATGACAAACGGGACATGGGAACTCAAATTGGACGCCTTTCGAAATATTTTGGGATTTTCGGAAGATGACATATTGAGAACCGTAAGGCAGATGCCTCAGGCGTTTTCGGTATCAGAGGATAAGATCAAGAAAGTAAAAGAGGTGGTACTTTCGACCGGAAAGTACGACGCGTCGTGCTTTGTTAGAAACCCTAAATTACTTATGCACAGCATCGAGAAGCGGTATAAGCCACGGTTTGAAGTTTTAGGTATCTTGGAAAGTCGGGGTGTAATTAAAAAGTGGCCTTGTCTTACGATACTTAGCAAAATGACGGATGACACCTTCTTCAACGAGTTTGTAGCTCCTTATACAAATGAAGTTGGTGATGAGCTAAGCTGATTTTCGAAGGAATTGGATTAACTTATTAGGAAGTCAACTCGAGCACTCGGTCAATGGTTGGTTTGTAGCTTTGATCGAAGCTAATTGGAAATTTGAATCCGGTAGACAGAGGTACTTTCTTGATGCTTGTGGCTATCTTGTATTTTTTATTTAGGGCAAATTACGGCCACCCTCCTGAGGTATGGCCAAATTACGAAAAAAACGCTCTTGTTTGGGTAATTACAGCCACCCCCTCCTTTTAAATATTCTTACATAAAATTTATGTAATTCGGTTATTTACCAAACCAAATCGTATATTCAGTTCTGTAAATAATGGTATGAAATGCTGGCGTACCGAAATTTCGGTTCGGTTTTACCGATTTAACATCCCTAAATTTACCTCTGGAGGGGTATTTTCGTAAGATAATACATAGTTGAGGGGTGGCTTTAATTACCCAAACAGGAGGGAGGTTTTCGTAATTTGACCATAACTCAGTCGGTGGCCGTAATTTGCCCTTTTCTTTATCTTGTAAGAATTTGGCTTCGTATTTTTTAATTCGTGAATGTCGTATTAAAAATTGTTGTTTTGAAGCATGTTTCGGTTCGAAGACATGCCTTGCTAATTGTAATTTTTAGGTCGGTTGGTCTGAGTAACGTTTCTAGGCAATGCGATATAGATATCGGTTTCTTTCTTTCCGGAACCATTTTGTAAAATTTCTTTTTTTTTTTTATTTTCCTAGCAATAATATTCAAGGTTTCATTTTGATGCAAATCGAGCCATTAATTCATAATTGGTCTAGATCTAGTGTCTTTCTTTCTTTTATCGACATAGATGTTCGAAGCTTTAATGGTTAATCAGGTATCCTCAAGGCAATCACTGGAACTCCACATTTTTTTAATTAGTGATGAAATCTGCTTAAGTTTCTCCTAAGAATCTTTGAAGAGCATACTTAAGGGCCCGTTTGGCTAAGCTTATTTTAAACAACTGATAATCTCTTACATCTGATAAGTTGTTTTAAGAGTTGATAAGTTATTACGTCTTGCTTTTAGAATTAATTTTTAAAGTGTTTTAATAATGACGTTATAAACATTTTTTACTCATTATAAGATCTTAAATAAAAAGGTGGAGTAGAGATATTTTTTAAAAACGTTCTTATTTGCTCTCCAATAGCTTATTGTTTGAACTTTTAAGATATTTTTCGAAAATTTTACCAAACACTTTGGAAAAGCTTATAAGCTTTTAAACATTTTGTAGGGTTCTTTTTAAGATAAATAACACTTAACTCCCATGTTGTTTGATTTTTTGTACATGACCCCTTGTAGTTTCAATATAAGAACAAGAACGCAAATAATTAATAAAAAGTAAAAGCCCAGTATATAACTTCCCCTAAGATAGATACATCTCTGTTGGTGAATGCTCAATTTTGAATAATTTAGAGAAAGAAAGGAAAGATATGAACTACTAAAAGGGATGTGATAAATGTCGTTCGAGCTTTAATAATACCGTTTCGACTTCAAGTGTGATTTTGATCATTTTTAATTTCAAATTTTGCAAAACCCAAAAAATAGAATTTGTAGTATTCTGAGTTAGTTTTCTAATCCAACTTGAATCACCAAAATTGGATGTCGGACGAGAAATATATACATGAATCAATGGATACTGCCCACAACTTTGATGTATTGATGTATCTAAAATTCAAAATGTGACTCATTCGTACATAACTTTGTCACACGACATCCAATCTAGCGGATTTAAGTTGGATTAGAAAGCTAACCCAAAGGACTACAGTTTTCATGTTTTGAATTTTGCCAAAATCAAAATAGAAATATGTCAAAATTAGGTTCGAAGTCAAAACGACATTAGTAAAATTGAAACGACATTTAACATTTCAGCTACTAAAATTATGTATAAATACCACAATTGAAAATGTTGAAAGTAGCAACATATATTCGATATGTAACTATTTTTCACGAAGTTCGTTGAAAATATCAGAATTTTTCGCAAATTAAAATTGGATCGGAAATTAAAATTTTCAAAAATTCTACATAATATTGGAAAACTGAAAATTGTAATTTTGGAAATCGTAATGAGAAAAAGTGTTCCAAAATTGGAAAGTTTCGAATTGTCTCTTGCTTGCAGCATTGAGAATTTATTGGCCCTTATTTGAATGAACTTTCGGCCAAGTCTACATCGCAATCAGTTATTGGCAAAAGGGAAAAATAAGAATCGTAAAACATGTGCTTGAAGCATTGGAATGAATGGTCAAGTGGTGTTGTACTGCACGTTGAAGCTAACCGAAGAAAAATAGGTACTTCATGATTGTGTATTTTTGGTTGCACCCCATATATCTGGTGTAACCTTTTGATTGAAGGGCTAAGGTTAACTTGTTGCTCGTTTCATGTTACTTGTATTTCGTTTCTGCTAATATCGTTAGGATCTTGGAATTTTGTCGGGACAAAACTAAAAAAATTCGACCCGAAAGATTACATTTTTGTGCTTTATGAAAATTATAATAATTCTCGAAATTTTTATATTATATTTAAAGTGAGAATTTTCAATGGGTCTTACAGGATGGCTGGATGACAATGGGGCGTAACTTGTTAAAATTCGAGACCTTACCCGTCAAGGATGTTAGTAGCATTTGAGATTTGCTCCGACTTGAAACCGAAACCAACAATGAGTTAGAACTGTTTTATAATTTTTTTAACTAAAAGAATATTTAGAACTTTTTTTTTTTTAAATTCCTATGAAATATGTTTAGGATTTCAGAACAATAGAGAGGGTGTACAACGTTGTCCAAGGAGTTTATCCCTTGTAGACATGTTCATGATTCACTCTTTCTTTCTATTAATCGGAACCGGGACTAGGCACTTTATATCACCCGAACACTCTTCTTCTTTCATCTGCATTTTTGTGACGCAGTGAAATGGAAACACAAATGCTTTGATTGGATCAGTGGAAATGACAAGTGAAATGGTAAAAAGGTAAAGTACAAAAATTTTCTTGTTTGATTGTAAAATAAAAATTGTAAGTAACTAATTTGAAGTAAAAATAGAAAATATGTTTTCTCCACCTCCAGGAAAAAAAAAACAAAAACAAAAAAAAAAAAAAAAAAAAAAAAAAAAAACAAGAAAAGGTTGTGCAAAATTGCTGCTTCCGTTCATTCTTCCCTCTTCTCCATCTCTTCTTGATATCGAGAGAATTAGCCACTAATGGGAAGAAGAAAAGGAGATTGAGAGACGAAAAATAAAGGATGAAAAAAAAACTATTATTAATGTGAAAAGTAAGTTACATGAGGAGCGAGTATGTGTAAGCGCGTTTAAAGAATAAGAGAATGTATAAGCGCTTTTAAAAAATAAGGCTTACTATACAAAAATAAATAAAACATAAAAATAAAACTAAGACTATATTCGAATACTTGCACCAAAAGCCGAAATCCCTCGCTCCCAGGACCCCCATATTTGGCCCGACAAGTATTTGATGGAGGAATTTCATAAATTATGGTGACTCAACGGTCTGTTAGGGTAGCGACCAGGACAAGAATCAACCCTCACTGAAGTTGAAATTTCCATATTGGGGCTCCCAATAGTAGACTATGCTCGAATACTTCCTCCTCAAGATGGAAAATAAATATTCTTCAATTCCATCTTGGAGAGCAACTAGGAGAAGGCAGGAACACGAAGAGAAAGTTTACTAATACATTCAAATGATAGAAATCAGAAAACTGAGCTAAATGGATAGATGCTTTGTAGATTTTTGTAGTGACGTTCCCTAAAATCCTGTCTTTTCTTAAAGGGTCACCATAGAGTGACTCATTTTCTACACTACTTATAAAAGTCGGATTGATATGGAGGCGTTTTCCATTTTTTTATAGTCCAAAAGTATCATTTTACAGTATTCAAATGACATTTCAGGGGCAAAAAATAACTTATGCCTATTTAATTTGTATTTGTAACTGAAACAAAATAATTGTTTAGTAGTTGCCATGATGTACAAAATTAACTAGTTTAACATTTTCTCAAATACTATTTTTCTTAAGGTTAGGGATATCGGATACAATTAAAGGTCATTTGATTATATTTTCTTCAACATCTGCCACTACGTACAACTAATTAGTTTATAACATTTTTTTAATTTTTTCTCATTTACAACAGGGCATATTCTGATCCAACTGCATATCATTATTTAATTATATTTCTTCCAACGTAATTGTTTTCTGATAGAAATAGATTTAAAAATAAATAATTACAAAAAAAATTTACAACTATAGGCGAAAGTTTCATTATATTTTCTCCAACCAAATTCTTTTTTGGATATATATTAGAAAAATAAAGGAAACAAAAAAAACTACTACCTATGCCGATTCTCCACTAACCTATATGAAAACCCCTCATTAACTCATTAAAAACTTATAACGTTCGGCTTGTCAATACTACTCTCAAAAAATAAGGCTACTGTCTAAATAACGCCCTTCTACATCTAAGAAAAGAGGCCCTTTCATACCAGAAAACAATTTTCCCTCTTTGTTTACAATCTTCAAATTCTGTTAAGCTCCTTCTTCGTCATTTAAATCGCAAAGTAACCGAAGGATTACTCATCACTCATGAACAAAAAAACCCCTTAAGGAAAATGGTTTCATACAATTGTAAATTATTCACACACAAAAAAAGTTGCATATGCAAAAATGCATTCAATCACACAAATAACTGATATCCTATATATACCACTTTTAACAACATCACATTCACCAAAGATACATACCCAATCGACACTTGAGCATTTTGAACATATGGCCAGTAAGTATATTCTTCATATCCGAATTTTCATTGTTACTAAATTCGGTTCTTATCGAACAGGAAACAACCAAACCATGGCCAATGATTCAATTGTGCCCCTTCAAGAATTACAAGCCAATAAAAAAAATAGACATTATAGCTAACAGTAGTCCGAGCCTGAATGGAGATAAGTTGTGGAACGGAATTAAGTAAATATCGTCACGAGTTCTGATGATGAAGAAACACTTCACATTTGGAAAAATAAAAACAGAGGAAAGTGTTGCTTTCTGTCAAACTCAACAAGGAAAATGAGTAATCTGCTGCTACTTTGATGTATACTTGATTGTCGTTAAAATTTTTGCTTAGACTTTATTAATATTTGAGTTTTTAATTGAACATATTTGCTAATTAACAAGATATATATCAACATGATGTGATA